ATCCGCATCGAAAGTAAGATTATCGTGCGTGTTGTCAAGACCTCTTTTAGGAACATCACGGAACGAAGACCCTCCCTGTCCATCGGTCCATCTCCGAAGAAACCAAGGTTGATGGAGCCACACTCCCCACTTTACCCCAGCTTCCCACAGGCGACTCCCCGTGCTTTGTTCCACTAGACTTCTGAGCGCGCTCCCCAACACTCCACGTCCGTTCCGTCAACATCCAACCAGTCCGCATATTTGATGCCGCAGACGGTGCGCCGTCTGCCACAGTATGCTTTAAACATCCCCTCGGAGATCCCTATTTTTTCCGTTTTATCCCAACAATCTGCCCCACTTTTCCAAACCCCAGGAGTCGCAGCACTGCTCCAGCAGAACGAACAGCTGCATCGAAAAATGGACGCAATGGCAGATCTTCAATATCTGAAGATCCGCATTGACAACTCATTGTTACAAGTCCATAGTTCTGCTGGAACTACCGGCTTCACTTCCCCCCTCCGGAACAAAGGTGCGTGGGACAAAGTGGAAAGTGAGCTGGCAGAGGTACCACGCCATGCGTGGGACAAATTGGAAAGTGAGCTGGCAGAGGTACCACGCCAAATGGAACTGGTAATTCAATGTTGTTGATCTAATTTTTGGGCCACAGATAAAATAGTTCCGGTCTTTCAGTGCGACCACCATGGCGGACCTGGTACGTCTATGTCTCAGACAGGCGTTGGCTGACGAATTCGCCGTCAATGTCGCCTGCGCTGGATCTGCCGACAAACTCCCCTTCCGCCACACAAGACTCTGCACCTTGATCGAAGGTAAGCGGTCACTGTTGTTTCAGAAACAGTTCTCGGTAACCCGGTTTCCAAAGACGGTTCCCGACAGGATTTGGATAAGGAAATCCAAAAATGGTTCGGTAACGCACGTCACCGACTGGCCCAGAGAACGAGCCTGGATCAGTTGGCAGTAAGTTTCGACTTTGTACTTGGACAAGTTTATCGGTAGCAGCCGATATATCGAATGCTTATACTTATGTTTTGTCACTGTTTCAGACGTCCGCATTCAACCAAGAAGCCGGGATTATCGCATTGGACTTGCCTTCTAACTGATTCGGTTTAATCGTGGAAAATTTATTTTTGTACATCCAATATATTTTTTATCCTTGTTTTGTGTTCTCTAAGTGCTCTGCGTAAACGGTCAATGATAACAACGTATCAACGCGGTTATTGAACCATCTCCATAAGCGGCCAGAAGTTTGATGTACGGCGACTTGTAAAGATTCCGTTACTAGACCTTATTTTCTGCAACGGGTACGACGATATGCACGCGTGTGGTTACCAGTGTAGGTCGTAACGTTACAGTCATGTTGCGGTTGTTAACCGCAAACCGTTCTGCACGACTATTTAACCGTAGAACTCGATTAATAAGTGGTAAAGAAGCCATCAGATAGTCAATCTAGTAAGACTACGCTACGGCACCATTATTTGGCGTCTCTAGCCCTACAATGCGGTCAGTGCGTGGTTACGTATACGATGTTGCGCCGTAATAACGCGGTAGAATAGGTCTAATAACAGCGATTTACGGTAGTATGGTGGTGATTTCGCCATTATTTACCGTTGAAATGTGGTCTAGTGAGGGTTATTCAATGGCGCAATCATCAGTAATGACGGTTATTTAACCGTTTGATAATCGGAAATCATGGTTTTTTGACGGCTATTTAACCGATTAATAACCGACAGAATTTTTGAAGGGGTTTCTAGACTCTGAGGTGAAAACGGGGTTCAAAATGTTAAAGACTCGTGCACGGGTGTATATATGCACACTACTGTGTGCACGCTCTGTAAGCACCAGGTGGGTCGTGAATATCCGAAGATGGGTGCCCCTACTCATGAACATGTTCATGACAACTGCTGTGGAAGGAAAACAGAAAGAACGCTCATGAGCCAATTGGCTTCAAAGCCGAATAAGCAACCTTGCGCGCCACAAATTGGCGACGTATGAAAACTTACACATAAATAAACCCAAATGGCATGTACTGTTTAGTACGGGCTACGAGAGTCGATTCATGCACAAGCCAAACTCGAACCTACGATTGGTCCAAATAGCCAAATATCATAGGATTTCTCGGAGGCTCGAAGACGAATTTAAAAGTCTGAGCCCCGTTTATGCATCCCAGGGTCTCCGCGGTACTGCGAAATTACTCCACCAGACATTTCCGCTTCATTTGACAACGAAATTTGGTGAGCTGCAAAAGTGGGAGCGTACAATAGGATGTTTTTTGGCTTGAGCACATACGCAACAAATTGCAACATTTTGGCGCAAAAAGTTTTACTCCACTCGTCAAGGTTTTGCAGCTAAGAGCATTGTGCCGCTAATGGGCATTAGACGTGTGGGAATAGCTCGTGCGACGAGATGGACGGCTTGTGCGAAACGGACCAATCAGAATGTCGGTATGCCAACGAATAGCATTCACGGACTAACGGATTGATGCCTAAGATTCCCGGGTCGGTTTTGCTCTTGTCGCTCAGCGCCTGTCATTCGCCTGAAAGGTACAAGTGAAAAAAGCGTGTAGCACTTCTCTTTATATTCTCAGCG